CGAGTATTATATTAATACCCCTCTAGTACAGTGACATGGTTTCACGGTTGTCGAAGTGTTATATTATTATGTGTGCTAGTGGTTCACAACGCATGAGATCACCTTTATGGTTTATATCATAAACAATAATAGGTGCCCGACGGCGAAGGTCAACGAGAGGGTCAAAAACCTTCTAACATAAATACATATTATACACGGTGTATAGCCGTGTTTTGTGAAAAGAAGCGACGACAGCAATCGTCGTCCAATTTGAATCTATAACGTGTAAACGACTTTTACTTGTTCTCTCTACCTGTATATATACCTGCATACATAGTGTAGACCACCACATAGGAACTAAACTAATGGTAAACGCGTCGTCTTCATGCCAATTACAAATATTAGAGATCCGGAGCGCGTTTCAAGAATAATATTATTTATACTGACCAGTGTTTACCAAAATGCAAACCATGGCGACATCCGAATGGCAGATATATATAAACTAAATTATATATAATAAACTAGACTGCTAACTTAAGTGATAAGAATTAAAGTCATATTTATATCTGTGCATCCGAACGGCAGACGTCGGCAGGTACGGCTCTTGACCAGAAGCGAATATGTCGATACCGATATCACACTAACACGGGTGTATTAGGTATCTTGCTTGTTTTCTGTAAATCCAAACCATCATGATTTATGATAATATTATTTCATTACTGTCGTCGGACGGGGCGACACAACACCGAATAAGGATAATAATAATAACAATAATTATCGTTATTATCATTATTGTTGTCGGCGTCGCCCCACCAGCTGATGCGGCAACGGCAATCTTCTTGGCGGCTGCTGTTCTCCTTACCGTCGTCGGCCAATCAAGTTCACTAGCAATAACGACGACACCGCCGAGGAAGGTCAACGGCCGGCAGGCAACAGTAGTGGTGCCCACGGCGACTATGGCGAGCAACAGACATATAATAAAACAAAACTGTCATCGTCTCCGGAATTACACGACAGACAAAATGTATTTTTTCATAATAATACAATTTAGAGTAACAATATTATATATTAGACGACCTAGTCGCATCACATTGTATAATAATGCATAGAGCCGAACGGCGTGAAAATACATTTATATTATTATATAGTACGTATATTATAGCTGTTGGGCTGTGATCCAAAAAAAAAAGTGCAAGTACAAACGATAGAGTTTTACTTTCGAAATCGTCTACTGAGCAGACTCCATCCAATGTGATGCGCGTCTGTGTGTCGAATCTTAAGGCCTCCACGCCAAGCGTATTCTTCTCCGGTGTTGGTTTTACAATGTTTCAACAAACTGGCGCTGAATGTCATTTGAACATGAGACGGCGGAACGCTTCAGTCGACGACTGAAGGGATCAAACTGTCTAAAAGCAAATCCGGTTATGGCGTACTTGCGCAACAACCTGGTTCGATGTCCGGTAAGTATAGGATACGGATGTCCGGCGTGAAATCTTTGTGCAGTTTCCTTAAGTGTAATAATTGATACATACGGCCTTCACTATTACAGACGCGGTAACTCCTCCGGCAATCGAGTTTCGTTGCACATGCAATGCAATCCATCTATGTGAGGCTGTGAATCAGCAACACTGCCACAGATTAGATAAAAACTAGATGGTGCACTTCGCCGTTTACTGATGTCTAAAATCCTCCTCGACTTAATGTGACCACAAAACATTTTACCATAACGTGTTATCAAATAGTTTCTTTATAAGGACTCTTTTGTTTCGACCAGTGGACACTCCGAGTTGAGGAAGGTTTTGAAGACCTTCCGGAAGACGCGTCGTCGTGACACCCAGGGCCGATCACCTCAGCTGCGCGTTAACTAATTTTCAGAAGGTCGAGGAGGCAACGGTCGGAGGTCGTCGCCTAAACATGTGGGTCAGTGATTTCAAGTTCAGAGGCACTTGACTCGGAGAAGCACTCAACACACACACACACACACACGGCCGGCCCTGTAGGCGGTGTTCGGACAAGTGCATAATAATCGTACTTTAGAAAATAATCGCACACCAGTTCTTTCCTCAGGCCGGGGCAAATCGTTGGAATTTCGACGGCAGCACTCGAGTAGGGTGTTCGACTTGTAACAACCAAAATAAAAAAAAATATTAAAAAATATTACCATTGAAAGCACCGCATGTGGAATATATGCGCCGGGCACCTCGTTCCAAGTCGTAAAACGCATTCCAATCGCCGTGTATATACGTTGATACTACCTAATAAGATGCATATGTATATTTTTGTATACGTGTTGGGCATGTTATCATCCGGCACGCGCCGTGACGCGTGCACTATCAAAAACCCGCACCTTTTCACCGGTCGCATCACAAGTGCGCCTTTTATAGGTTAAGTTTATTTTTTGATGGATTTTCTTGAACCGGCGAAATCTATTCCAAGTGAATCGTTCAGGCTGCATCCGAATTCCGTCAATCGTAGGTACAAATTCCCCATCCCAGGTAAAAACAAAAATACAGTACTCACTAGTTCTACTAAAACTTTCATAACGAGAACTGACAAATTATAAACACCTAATTCATGGCCGTTTGCACCAAAACTGCAGTCAAACTATAAGTTAAATTCTACTGAAGTACACTTGGTGTCATTAAATATTGAAATCGTCCTTACACAAAATGTGTTTTCGACGAGTAATATTATATAATATGTGTGTACATTTTACCTACATATTAGAACGGACATGTTAAAACGTTCAATTAGATAAATAATAGAATTATCTACAGCTGTTGTTTGTCGTACGTTTAAGTTTCGTCTCGATTCGAATACAATACGGCTGTTGTTTACTATGTAATACTTTTTTTTATGAATAAAGCATTTTTAAATAATTAACCAGATAATTCATGTACGTTATTTCGTGTGTTATCCATAGCTACCGGCTACTGAATAGATTGCAGGCGAATATGGGACGGAAATCGGATACTCGGAGAGCCTCAGAAAAAATAAAAAGCAGACGGGGGTCACTTTCAATGTAAACAAAAAATGTGACGACCATTTTGTAAAGACCTATTTAATATTATGTGTTACATCTCTATCCACGACTAAAAATAATAATGTATATATACAACATTATACATATAGTGGTGAATAGACTTAACGGCCGCCGCGTTTTCGTGTGACAAGTATCTTGCCCGTGTTAACTTTTATCAGTGTCCCGGGTCTGGCTGAACTAACCCAAGACGGAACTAGTAGCCTAATATACAATATCGTTAATCCCGATTTTTTATGTTTTTAAGACACCATTCGTATGCAGCCTGTGTGAAGTGTATGTGTGTGTGTGTGTGAAGAAACGGTTAGCGTTCACTTTCCTAAACGCTAAGGGGCACTTCTACATAGCTACTATTTAAACAACGGCTGTTGAAAATGAACCTTGATCATCAGTTGATATATTATCGTCGGACCAATGGATTTTTTCGCACGTGGATCAGTTCATGCCACGGTGCCCGATTGCAATAACAATATAATATTATATTGGCAGTCTAATGACCCCGGATTCGTAGATCCGTCTGGTCCGGTCCGCTCTCTAGCCGCAGGGCCAGACGGTTGACCTCGGGCCTAAGTAGTTGAGTCAGTTTCTCGTTTTCAACATAATATCGTATTAACCGATTAGCGTTCTCATCGTCAGCTACCACCACACCGCCCGCACGATAGATTTAAATTATATAACATAAATAATAAAAAATATAACCGCTGATCCCGTGTCTACCGGATAGTAATTACTAATTAGTCCCCCTACCTTGACCGGCAACGGTACTGACCGGCTGTGCCCGCCTCGTTTACTGGAAATAACATAATAAACTTAGAAGCGTTAAAAAAAACTGTGAACGATTCGGACCCGCCGCCGGCTGGAGAATAAATACAATTTTTTATAATACCTACACTAATAAACCGCCAAAGACCGAACCCATGGGAAAGTCAAATCATTTTGACACACTAAACACACGACCAACCGCGCCGCCGTCGAGTTGTGTTCTCGGTTAGGGGTCCGACGACGATTTTATTTTGGAACACGGCCTTACTTCAGGTGGCCAGTGTATCTGCTAGTCGGTTGTGACATGATAATATTATTGTAGCTTTTAAGAAATATTCCTCCATACGCGCATCGTTTGTCACGAACAATTATTACCAAAAAACGTTAAACTAACGCCCAACACGATCGTCCTAATGACCACCTTTGAACACCTCGAACACGGTAGTTTAGCATTTTAGTTCACTAACAATAATGAACCTACCTACCTACCTACCTACGCTGGGACGTTAGACTATTTGTATCTAGTGGCGATTCTAGGTGTTGACGTTGCGTGGACAAGAAAATATAATGACCTTGAGCGCAATCGACGACAACTAATAGAATAGAGAGCTTTGAGAGAATCTAAACCGCAGGCTGATACGCGGGAGTTGTAAGGATGCAAACATTACTCGGTTGTTTTTTCCAAAAAATTACTTATATTAGTTACAGGTAAAATTATGGTTGGTTCAGTTTTCACAGCTAATAAACATTCTTGATCGCAGTGGCGTGTTGACACTTTGTTCCAGGCATAATGGAAAGAGTGTCGTTTTACTTACATTATTATAGCACCTACCAAATTAAACTGTAATCAAAGATGGACATTGATATAAGATACAAAATGTAGTGCTTTTCAAAATACCTACGTTTATGTTTTAGTGAGAGATTTGTCGAAATAAAAATAAATGTAGCACTAATTTTAAGTTTTAAGATTTAGTATAGAAAAAATCCAACCTCCCCCCCCCCTCTCCGCTAATGTTCGACCTAATCTTTGACTGAATTATGGTATGTCCTAATATAAACTATGTATAACAATGTGGTAAGGCCCTATACGGCCCTAAAAATATTATATGGGAAAACATACACCGTTGGACGCGTCTCGAAATATTAAAATTTGGCTTCATTACTAAAATTTGTCCAATGTCCATTGTGCAACACCTACTTTAGTACAAAATGTACTCACATTGTTGTACTGCAGCGATATCCTGTTGTACTCGTCCTGGTAGGCCTTTTTCGCTTTCCTTTTCTCCGCGCAAATGTTGGCGATCCGGTCCAGCGTGTTCTTCTCGATGCGGTCGCAGACGCCGCGGATGGCCCGGCTGGCCGCGTCCAGCTCGTCCAGCAACCGCTTCCACGCGCCGGCAACCAGACTGCCGGTGGTTGGGTCGCACTTCAAGCCTTGCGCGCACACGGCGCTCAGCGAGGCTGCGTATTCGCGGTCGCACTTGAGCTTGCTGGTAACGCAGCGCCGCATCACCTCCAGCATACGGATCTCGGCTTCTTGTCGGCCCACCAGGGCCTCGTACTCCGGTTTGCCCTGGCCGCCGCCTCCACCACCGCCGCCGCCGCCTCCCGTGTACCCCATGACGTCTAGTCGGCCGAGCAAGTGGTCATGTCAACAGAGACACCGTCGTTGGCGGGCCCAAAACAACGCACAGCTGGTCGATTGTGGTCTTCGCCGTTGGCCAAGTAAACACAAATAGTCGGACTCGAAACGACAACAGTCCGATTATTATTTCATTAAGTTTTAAAAAAACCCGATAGTACACTTTATTGAAAACAATAACTAACTACAACGAGCACCGAACACGACAGGAACGAACTATACCACGGACACAGACTACACCGCACAAAACCCGAACCCGACTAACCTGCGTCCCGCGTCCGCGTCGCGACGGTCTACCAAAGAGCGGAACGAAAATAAACACGCACGCACGCACATACATGTACACACTTGCGCGGGGTTTGTCGTCGTCGTAGTCGTCTCGCCGCGCCGCGCCGTCAGTGTGACCAACCCAACACAAGACGGACGGTCACGTCTGACAAGAACTGTCTCGTCTTGAGTTAAAAATACGGCGCTCGTCTCGGCAGCTGAACGTACCTAACTCGATTACAACACTTCTTGTCATTCATTCGGGTGTAACATATTATTCACTCTTCAGACGATATTATACATTTATCAAATTGATTTTCAGTTTGAAAAAACAAATACCAATATTTTATGCCCATTTTTCGAAACAAAATCAAGTTATAGCTAAAAGCTACTGTGTAAGTCAACAGTATATTGATTGGTATATGCTAATAATTTTTTTTATAAGACCAATTACCATCACAGCGTCCTAAAAAAAAGTTTTGGGTGGCTTTTCATAATTGTTTTACCAAAACATAGCTACGCAGATTGAGTATTACTCTATCTATCCATGATGGTATTAAAGCAAAAGCGCCCATTATGACTGATGCCATCGAAAGATGATGACATTTCGAAAAAATGTCATATAATACAATATTTTCAATACAATCCTTATTATAGTCTTACATGAATGTTGACTACTAACAGCGTAAAGATCGTTAATTGTGTGTATAAGGTCTAAGAGAATGCCAACTCTAGTAAAAATATTAAATAAATATTTAATTATTTACTTTGTTCGACGGTTAATTTTTTGATATATTTTATTATACAAGCAAATTTAATTTACACCTATTAATTAAGTATGTAATTAGGTTGTTCAACTTAATTGCATTTTTTATAAGTTAGGCTGCTAGTATTGGAGGACACTATTTAAACAATTCCTATTTAAACAATATCAGCAGTGATGTACAGTCATTATTGATACCGACCAATTCAGTTTATCAGTTAAAATGATTTACCGGTAATATTGTTATGAAATTTCCCTTTAATCTGAATTTTGCATCGCTTTTTTGAGCGGATTGTGAAGTTTTTACTTTTTACTCATTAAGACCTATACCATGTACACCGTTTTTCTAGTCTACCCGATTACGAAGAATGCATTTTATTTGGCCCATGATGGTTTTAGAACAGAAAACACCTATTACAAAAAATATAGAACACACATTTCGGACACAATTATTATCTTTTGTTTTAAATACATGTTTTATTACTGTTTTAAAATAGTAAAAATATACCTATTTTTAAGTACCTATTGAAATCCTATACTAAACAATTATTATATTAAAAAAAAAGAAGAATATGTCATTTCACTATAATGGCGTAAATAATGTCTAATCCGGGGCATTATGTAGGCAATTCAAGTGCTCATATGAATAGCATGCCCAAATTCCTAACGTTCCAAAGAACGGCATTTATACCGAACAACTTGGTTTACTTTTTTTGATAAACAATTTAATGATTTTTAATTTTAATCGAAGAAATTAAATTATAAGATATTAATGAACCACATAATTAAAAAAAAATACAAATAATGTTGTCTCTTCTATAAAATAAATTGCAATTACATTTGACCCATCCGTTTATAAAATATATTTTGTACAAAAGTTATAGCATTGTCAAAATACTGGTGAGGCACCCTGTAAAAAGCTGTTTATTAATAATATTTGCTCATACAAAGCTAAAATATATTCACGTTTTTTTTTAAACCCAATCAACTAGGCGATAAATAACTGTAATCAAACCTTAAAATTTGAACACCCTTGTCCCCTCTTCTTATTACAATCTTTGTGTTTTTAATGCAACTAAAACAAACGGTTAAGTGCAGAAAGGGGACTTGTCTACCAGTTTCAAGTTGACCAGTGGTACGCTCACATTATTTTTTTGAAATTGTCGAGAAGATTTTATTTTAAGGGTGGATAATATGCTTATTTATTTATTTTGGCAACTAGCTCTTTCCCACTCTTATCTAAGACAGTTTTTCGTGTCTCCTGTAAAATTTGGTTTTATGGACATTTCCCTCTCTGTAATAATATAAAACACTAATAATCATTAGTAATTCATATAGTATCAAATATTTTTACAATTAAGACCCCAACAAACTCTCGATATTGCCTGCTAGAGCAGGCGATTTAACCCTTTTTCGGTTTAAAAACTGTTTTCAGATCATACACACACAACTTTATGTTCATGATAACTTTTTTTATTTTTTGGTACAAACGCCATTCGGCTTTTGACTATATAATACTTATAAAATACACATACAGATATAACATACACTTTATGTATATATACACTTTTAAAGATATAAATTAATTACTACTAATACTATTCTTAGAAAAGCTATAAATTGGGCTCATCACTCCTTGATAAGCTATTGACCAGAAATGACTCTTCTTAAAGGATCATCCTTTAAATAATTTGTTCTTACAGAATCTGAGTAGTAGAGTTCATATGATGGGGTTATCCCTGGGACTCCAGATAAATCGATCGAGCCAGAAACCAAGCCATTTAAAAATTTAATATAATTTCTCATTTCACTAAGTGTAGATACATTAGGAGCCGTTAAGACAGGCTAATATTCATGGGGTTTATGATGAATACCCATGGGAAAGCATTTTCAAAAATCGGTTTAGATCCGAACTATTGGAAATGTGTAATTTTTTTATTTAGTCACAGTACCTAGATATGGACACCGGCCGCAGAAGGTGGAAACTTAAACGCGCGCGCTGACTGGACATCAGATCGACTTTTAGCCCCCCCCCCCTCACACTTTTAGGTCTAAGGTACAGAATTATTATCCCGCCCGTGCCCCCAGTCTTCTTTGATCATGTCGGCAGCCTTTTCTCCAACCATTATGGTCGGCGCGTTCGTATGGGCGGCCGGCACTCGAGGAAATATGGACGCATCGACCACCCTGAGGTTTTTGACGCCGTGCACTCGCAGTCTCGGGTCCACCACCGCCGTCGGATCTCCGGCCGGTCCCATTTTGCAAGTGCCCGACAAGTGGTAAATGGAAAAGCTCATATGCCGGGCCGAGCACTTCCAATAGGCGTCCGAGTCGAACGGGTGATGGGCGCAGCCGGGCAAAGGGGTAGCGAACACGCGGGCCCCGAGCTTCCTCATGGCGTCCGTCTTCAACATGCGCTGCACTATCCGCACCCCGGCCACGATCACGTCCAAGTCGGTCTCGTCGGCAAAGTAATTGGGATCGATGAGAGGCTGGTGCCAAGGGTCGGTGTCCCTCAGCCATATGCGGCCTCTGCTCTTGGGCCGCATGACCATTGGGAAAATGTTGAAGCTATCCGCAGACTTGATGGGCCTGTATACCGCGTCGTACACGTCGGTCCGCAAACCGCATAGTTTGTATACCGACTCGTCTGCGGTGGCAGATCCGGACAGCAAAAGAAGCTCCAGGTTCGTATGGCCGTCGGGATCGCCGGGTCGGTCGGTGTCGAAAAACGCCAAAGCCTCCGTGCCGCCGGCCAACGACAACACCCCGCTGTGCCGGACCGTGTAATTGTAAAATATGTACGGGTCTTCCCCCAACCTGTCGGACCTGGTAGTCACGGTGTCGTTGACCAATATCAACAGGCTGTTTAGAGTTATGTGGTCCATCATGTTTTCGCCGACCGGCAAGTCGTTGACCACGGGCACGCCCTTGGCTTGCAAGTGCGCTCTCGGTCCGATGCCGGACAGCAGAAGAAGGTGCGGCGAACCGATAGCGCCGGCCGAAACGATCACCTCTTTCCGGGCGTACACCCTGTACTTCTTGCGGCCGGTCACGAACTCTACGCCGACCGCCGTTTTCGATACACGGTCGATCAGCACACGAGTGACGGTGCTGTACTTTTTCACGTGCAGGTTGCGCCTTTTGTTTGCCGGAAAGAGAAACGCGGTGTTTGTACTCCATCGTCTGCCTTTGTCCATAGTTACCTGAAATATACCGTCAACGATTCGATTTGAGATTTTTAATTTGAATTCATCTTTTTTTATTGTATACATTTCGAAGCATTAAATACACAGAAAAAAATACATAGTTGGTCCAACTAAAATTATGGTTAATATAGGGAGACAACAAAATTTAACTTCAATATGCAGCTGAGAAAATATTGTTATTACAATGTTTTATTTCTATTTTTCTATTTATGTATTTGGACAATAATTTCTATACCGCATACTGCTACTGCTACTGCTTGGAGGTTAACCATATCTCCCAGACAGGGTACAAACTTCTTCTTTATTTTGAATTTTAGTTGCAGTTTTAGGGTTTCATGTCTAAACATTAGACTGATAATAGATCTATAGTAGGGCTTCTTTTATTATGCAAGGAACCAGCAAAAAATATATATTTTTTTTAAATACTACTCATGTCGTATAAATTTCCTTCTCTATCTTTTTTATCTTAATGTGTCTAAGACTATAATTTTTTTTAAATAGTCAATTAAGCATAATTCCTTCCAGATACGGAATATTTTATAATATCAGGTCCATGGTTAACAACTACTGGTTTATGCGGTAAGTAACTTACTAAGTAGACTTAAGTTGTATATTTTGCAATCTGTCATTCATAATGTAAATTAAAAAATATATCCTCTCAGTTACATCATAACAATGTTTTATGTACAAACTACAAAGTATATTTACTTATAATAGTTTTATCTCACGAAAGCAGGGCACGCAACAATATCACATCCGGAAAAAAAAACATGTTTTTTTGCTATGTTAATTACACTTAGTTATACATATTTGAAGGTCGCTGTTTTCAAAAATAATGTGTTCATTTTCATTTTTGACCAATTGGCTATTGTTGCCGAGATATTGCCTTAGTTATGCATATTTCTTTCAATCGTAAATGACAGTTACTTGCAAGTAGTCGACGCCTATTTGCTTTTGACCGTTTATGTCTAAGACGGGATGTCCTATCTGCGATGCCGCATCCACAAAAGCTTTGGCAACGGGTGTCCTGTACAGCACTTCGGTGACCGATAAAGGCCCGTGTTTCCCGTGATAACCGTCGTCGGACCGTGTCAATTTGGCGTTTTCCGATTTCATAAAGTATTTGAGCACTTGGTCATAACCCCAACCTACAACAAACGACCACCTGTCAAGCGTGCACACTAATCGTTTTTTAATAAACATATTCTACTATTTTATTAATATAAAACCATCGCTGACCGTCGTTGCCCATTGCGGCCCAGTCGTCGTAATCTTTTCTGTTGCCTCGATTGTATATCATGAAGTTCAACACGCTCGAGCCTCCCATCACTTTTCCTCTGGGGAACTTACAGCGTCGTTCGTCGAAGCCTACACCAAAGTACATAGTTATAGTAGGTATCTGAACCGGATACCCGACTAATAGAATCCGTATGGGTAACAATTATTTAGGGTTAATAAAAAGTGCAGCATGTAAAAAGAAGAGCTGAATGCCACTTCTCAACTTTAGGTAGACAAATCAAGCATTTTTCTCTTAGATTTGTTTAATAAGTGAGTTTGATTTTAGTCGGAGTTTAAAATTATTGAATTTTAAGTGTTATGTTCTTCTTTCTATCTTTCTATATATATAAATAAAAATGAAATGTTATTCGTAGCTAATCGCATCACATGAGAACGGCTGGACCGTCTTTGTTTAATGTACGTAATAGTCCGAATAAGGTTTTAGCGGATAGAAAAATTGGAAAAGTTGCCCGGAAAATTTAAAATTGTAGTGAAAGTTTATTTCAATAGAGGCATTACGTGCGCAAATATCACAACTGACAGCTAATCTGCTGACATATGGACAGTTTGACTTATTGCATAGCCCCTAGCCCACTGGGCGAAGCCAGGGCAACGCAACTATTTATAATAACTATAACTATATCTAGAGTTTGGCATTTTTTACTCGAATAACGAATAATAAATAATCTATTCAAATAATCTAAGATGATTTCTTGTAATAATTTTTAGATAAAAAATCATCTACATAATGCCCAACTCTGACCATATCCGAATACAAATAATTATAAAATATATAGATTTGTGTACTTAAGCACGAGTTATTCATTGGCACGGAAGTATATTTCCAATTGACAGTCGTCGCTTGTAATAAAGGAGCAAATAACGGCACGTCCATTACATGTGTAGCCTTCTCGCCGGCTTCGATTAACAACACATTCCACTGGCCGATCTAAACACAAAAATTTATTAATTATCCAAAAGTCGTTTAAAATGTTTCAAGCAGTGAAACTTTAAACTATTTGAGTTATTCATTATTTAATAACAATGATGAGTTCGTAGATCGCGAGGAAAGGCCAAAGGGGTTTTGAATTAGAATGGCACGTTAACATGGTTCTATATTTTAAATTACAAAAATTTGGATTTTTCCACCACTCTGTTGTTTATAATTATTATTAATTAAAGAGCTATACTTAAAATAATGTCGCAAGAACATTTGTAAATGGTTTTGCGAAAATCATACTGTTCCTCATTTGGTTTTCTTAATTTTCTTCATACCACCAAGTTCATTAGGCTCTGTAATTTGTAAAGTTATCATAACCCTTAATATTTATGAATTCTTAATTTGTGGTAGAGTAAATAGAAATAACCCAAGAACAGTTAAAATAAGGCGTCTAGTTTTAAAACCAGCTAAAAGCAATTTTAGAACATTTTCACAAACAAAAAATAATTTGTTCGAATGGGCGATTTGAAAACCAACCAAGGTTTTACCAACACAGTTTGAGTTAGCTATAAATTATAATCTTTATATGATAAAGAATTAATTAATTATTTATTCAATAATAGTTTTACATATCATGTAACAGTGGCCACATGTATAAAAACCCGTTATTAAAATGTCTTTTAGCTGGTTTTGAAAGTAGACTCTTTAAATGTAAATAAACCAAACATTAGCTTTCTTCACACAAAGTTGTCGATCCACTTAATTAAACTAATATAAATTTTAATGTACATTGTGGAAAATCAAATTCTACAATAATGCTCATATACATTATATATATATATATAAATATATATATATGAGTTTTTTTATGAGTTCGTTCATAGTCACTACTCACTGTGTTACTTACGAAATCTATTTAAAATTCTGCTATAATATTTTTATTAATATTAGGTAAAATATGCTTTATTCATTATTGTACATTGCGGGAAATTATATGCTATAATAGTACTCTAGATTATATATGATTTGTTTATGCGGTCATTGTGTTACTTATGAGTTTAATTTAATATTCCAATTGTAATTCTGCTATTATAATTTAATTCATATTAGTAAAATAAACTTTCTTAATTATTGATTATGATCTAGGAGAGATAATATTTGTGTTAAATTGTGGTGAGTGTTACTGACAACTTATAACAAACAAATAAATACTAAATTTAAACATTAGAAACGTAAGACTAAACTAGTTTAGGGGGTTAAAAGAATCACCGGTTTATTGTATTGTAAATACTTTTTGAGGTTGAAATTTTAACTGTGATAAGTATTTGTATGGGTCAGCTGGGTTGGTAAAAATATAACATTAATTTTGTAGTGACTTTCATTTAAAAAAAAAAAACAGTAATATTTCTCAATCGAGTGGTTCTTAAAGGTAGTAGTAATATAATAGTAAACGGGGAAAACTCTTTTGGGGAGGTATTTTTAATTTTTATTAAAATTATGAAGAGGGGCCCCCAAAGATATTTTGCCTTATGGTTTTTAAAATGCCTAAATCAGGCTCTGATTGTACCGGCACACTTAACGTTTTACGTTTTTAAGTAGAAGGGTATGGATAAGGCGGCACTGGGTTTCATTTTTTTTTCAAATTTAAATTAAAAGTACAATAAGTATAATATTAGTTCTCAACCATTTTTTAAAAAGCAGGCACCTTAGAATATAATTCTTAGGTCGTTAAAGATGAGTGATCCATCTGATGTAAGACACTCATTTTCTTGGGAAATATGAACATTTTGAAAATTATTTTTTTTCTATACTTTTAAGTACATAATTAATATTTTACTATATTTTTCAATACATAGAAAATGTTTACCTTCATCGATTATGCGTAAAATACATTTTTGTCTACATATTAATGGGAGTAACATATTCTCATTAAAAAAAAATCAGACCCATACTTTGAAAATTATTTTAAAAATGAGTCTTACATCCCATGGATTACCTCGTATAAACCTTAAATACCAGTTATTATTTATCTAATCCGGTAATTTTTAATTTTGGTATCTAATTTATAAACAATGACAAATATACACCTAACCCTTGCTATGGTACTGGTATTATTTAATAAATATACATATTTAGCCAGTTCATTTGTTGTTTATCTCATGTTTTATTAATTTTTGAAGTTATGTTGTTTATCTCATGTTTTATTAATTTTTGAAGTTATGTTGTTTCTTCAATATCACATATTTCTTGCATATATAATTCGACACAAGGACTTTAAATTGGACTGAAAGTAGATTAAGCGTGTTTTTTTTCATGTATATACCAATGAAGCCTATAAATCTACATAATTTACATAATCACGTAATCTACGTCGCACAATAATTAAATACTTGGAATAATTTTTAAAGAAATACATAAAAAAGTATATTTTCATCAAATTAAATAGATCCGCATCAAACAATTTTTAGTGTAATTTGGCGCTATTACCAACATTAAATACATATTAAATTGTATTGAAGTTACTCTTAGTCTTGGCATACTTTTTTTTATTAGACTATAACCACTTATTTTTTTTTTTTCAATAAACAAAAAAAAACAGCAAGAATACAAAAAAATGTTAATTAAGTTTTAGGATCTGTTGGTTGTATTGGTATGGCATAAACGAGTAATTATCGAACCGGCTACAATAATAATAGTCTAAAAACCTGACTGGAAAATAATTCAGAACTTATGGTAAAAACATAATAGTATGTACTTGAGCAACACCAAAGTTTATTTAAGTATACCATCACTCTTACCTCGGATAATCTGCTGGCCACAACGGCCCCCGCACTGCCTGCTCCGACCACTATGAAATCGTACTCACGGAGGACGTGCTTTTGATTTTTCGGCTCGTTACGTTCCCATTGGTTAGACTCTTCTATGAATGAAAGTAACGGCTCCAACATCGGAGGCTGGCTCGAGTCGAACGAATGGCCGAAACCAAAGGAGTGGACAAATGCCGGAAACACATAGAAAAAGGCTAGGGCCGCCTTCCAAAGTGTCCAAGTCATGCTATTGCACGAGGTTGCTCACTACTCTGTTTGTATCCAAGACAACACTAGACCGCACTGGAGCTGGCAACGTTCTGTTGCCAAGATGTTGCGGTAATGAACTTCCAATGGACAAGACGAATACTACACTGACCGGCGGTCAACGATCGCTGAGCATGGCAAATAATACGGTCGTTATAAACAATACAGTCAACGAAACTAGTTTGTTGATCCAGAGGTTGCGCAACCCGTTTACGTGGGATCGTCTGGGCTCACATAAACATTAGACCTTGAAATATCAAAGTACCCGAAGTCGTTGGAATTCCAAATTTTGAAAAAATTCGCCAAAAATATAATTACAGTGGCGGCCCGCCATTTCCCATTAAAAAAGTCTTTAGCTACTAATAAATTATTAATTGAGTTTCTTGGTCGTCTTTCGTTTTTTGTTCCACAACGTATTACAACGTTATCAAATATTACCTTTTAAACTCCCATTCAGCAAACAAATTATGCATTGAATTGTCCAATTTCCCGAATTATGTATTTGTCAAATAAATATAAGATAGACTATTTCACGAATCAGTCATTATCCTCTTTTAAGCAACATTTAAATTGTACTTTACGTGCGTTAAATAGTTAAATGCGACCATTAGTTATAAGTGTTTACTATTTTGTTCTAAGCTCATTGTTAATACTTAGTCAATACTATTGTCTATTATCTTGTAAATTCTAGCTTAAGTTATTTATGAATTATTTATTATCAATCTATACAAAATGTACATATAAATGATGAATAATGTACATTTACTACTTAACACTGTAAATATGATATTACACATGTAATTGGGTTGTCAAACCCGTTAAATTCAAATAAATAAATTAATTAATTAATTAAAAACAGAAATTAATATGGAAAATTTTATCTGTATTAGTAAGTACATCCCGTTTTTTTATCAATATTGTAGGCCTCACAATCTATTATTCGATTTTTTGATGAGTTTATTATAAATTATTAATTTATTATGTAAGGCGGAAAGGGAAAAGAAACCTCTTGTCGCGAGAATACAAATCGCAGGAGAGGCCAAAACATCAATCAAGGTTGAAAACATATTTAAGGGGGGTCATTGCCTGCGTATTTTTGGTCGAAAACAACTCATCCTAATTCAATCAGAAAACGCGTAATCCGGCAATAATTTTGAAAACGGATATAAATTTTTCAATACTTCCTTGATGTCATGACTGAAATAAATTTTTAATTTTTGTTTTTAATATCAAAGTGAAATAATTAATTGTAGAAAAACAATTTCAATATTATTGCACAGTCATTACCTTGTAAATGTTGTACCAGAGTTCAAATATTTTTTCAAACTCGAAGAATTCTTAGGAAAATTACGTTTAAAGTGGAAACATATATTTTTCTACAAAAATAGATCCTACATGCGTTATACAAATTGAAAAAAAAATGTAATATGAAAATAAATCACTCTATCCCATGGTTTAAAAATGTTAGTTTAATGTTAATTTTAGTGAAACATTTTTTTTTTTTTTGAAAGAGGAAGCTTTCCTATAGGTGCATCGAACATAGATTTTCAAAATTCTGAGTTGGGTGTCGGGGATCCTCTGATTACTTGATTTTCGTAGTATTTTAAAGATAGAGATATAGCATCAGCAGAATGGAATGAAATATGATGTTGTCGATATTCCATCTGACGTTCCCCTAGTTGTACAATGTACATGTAGATGTACTACAATCCCCTCTTATCTTTGCTTTGTTTGTCAATGGCATCATACAAATAATTTGCTACTGTCAACTGCTAATTTTTGCAGGTGACATGAAATTGATTTTGCAAATAAACCTGAAGTCAGCCTACACCTACAGGAAGACTTAAACGCAGTCGTCGGTTGGTCAAGCATTTTCGAGGCTATTCCTCGTTTTTTCTAAGTATTTTTCAATGAATTTTCCTAGGTTTTGTAAGCCACTATTTTTTACTTACTTTTCTACGCGCTCTGTGGTTGAAGATCTTGGTATAATTTCGGTTCCAAGCTGTCCTCTCAGAGCCACATTGTTCTAATAAATTGCAAAGCCTGCTTTAAGTTTTGTGAAGCGTAAGCGCACACATTTTAACTCGCTAGTTAGCTCTATTCAAGAGTAAGGTCTCATTATCCGCCATCGGGCACCCTCATTCTGCTAGTGGTAGCCATCGACTTGAACGTAGTGACTATACTCTAGTGCTCCAATGTTTAGGGCTAAGTACATAAGCTAATCGTAGAGGTGAGGGCAATCTGATTTTTCTTTTAGTAAGCTCATCAGATTAAGTTGATATGTCTAGTTTACTGAGCAAAGTTAATTGTTATGTGCCAGGACGCTATTTTCAACATGTGGTTCGATTTTGTATTACTTTCGATTCAGTGGACTACCTAAGAAATAGTCTCTATAGGTATTTTTCATTATAATATGTTTTATTTGTGTTTAGTGTTATCAATTTACCTTTTGTACAAATTTCGTTTGGCGTTAGAATTATAGTTAATAAATAAATAATTCATTATAAAATATACAAAATAATAGAAAATTCGTTTTAATGAGTTATAGCCAATTTCAGTGATGAAAAATGACATGCGTGATGCGAAGACGTTACAAATATTACTTTTTAAGGCGTTTGGTGTAGGCAATTTTTTTAAAATCTAAGTTTATAGTTTATTGGTAGTTAAGTGGATTGCATGTGGTTTGTTTTTAAGGAGTTTTGTATAGGCAATATTTTAGAATTGAAAAAAGAGGTTTTTAATACATTTCGACCATTTTGATTAATTAACCGGTGAATTTGTATAAGATGCATGGTATTATTTTAAATTCAAATAATTTCTTTTATGAGTAAATGTCATTTTAGTTTATATTAGACCAGAAAGGCACAGAAAATTTCGACCACATAGGATGGTCCAATTTCAATTCTGTAAAGAGATTAGAGGTTTTTGGCTACTTTACTATGTTATGTAGGAAAGAGCGCCGATTTTGATTTAAATATTTCAATTTCTTGTAAATAATTAAATGTTTGCAATTTTTCCAATATTAAAGCACAATTTTTTTACATAAAAAAATTTTAAATAGTTTTCCTACTAACCCTTTTTTTTTTTTTATTACAAGTCCATAAGAACACGAGGAGGGTCACCTTACAGTATAACATTCCCTGTGTTCCCGGCACCGTTTATTGATGACAAGACTACGTTAGAATACAATATTATACAATAAATACAAAAAAGAGCGGACTCTATTCCACTAATATTTGGCCTTCGGCCCACATTAATAAACTGCTAAATACTATATAATATACTATTTGCCTATCTGCTCAGTTCCGCATCAGCCAGCGAGCATCATCCTACATAACCCTAGTAATGTTGTCAAAAACTCAGATATCTTTGCAGACACCAAATCGGACCATCCTAAGTAGTCGACATTTTGTCTGGCTTTTTGGTTTAAAACGTCAAAAAAACAGACCTCATAGATACTGTGAACAGAGCACTATTTTTTACCAAACAGATCGTTTACTATTTAACATTGATTAAACTACGACAAAAAAAAAACAAAACAAAACAAATATAAATATATTTTTAATTTTCATTTTATTCATAAAATATACAATATTTTCATGATATTTTATATACCCCTTGATATTTTTAAAATAAAAAAACATTTCAACGGTATTAGTGTTTTACAATCGTATAAAGCTACTTTCCAGACTTGAATGACAACAATAAGTTATGTTAGAAAATACAAATTGGTCGAGAAGAAAAATATGCATAAAAACATATACAATTATTATATGTAAAATACAACGTGTCTGTGTATTGTGTACACAATGATAACATTTGTTTACATTTTTATATTATTTATACATATATAAATATATAATTTTTTTTTTTTTAATAAATTAAGAAACTTAACAGTCGTGAGTACGGGGAGGACCAAGATTTTGATTAAGTAAAATAGAGGCTAATGATTTGTAATAAAAATAAATATACACAATTTTTGTAAAAATATTCACTTCATTTATATAACAATAATCATATGTATATTTAAAATAAACAAAACAAAAATAAAAAGTTTGAATATAATATAATAGTCATAAGACAGGAACAGAATTAAAGTAGCTTTAAAAAACCGACAGAAGTTTAAACAATTTCTATTTATGATGACAACGGGGAAAACTGAGCAGTTGAAATGCTGTTCGGTGTCTTGACAAAGTTACACTTCCAACATAAATATTATAGTCTAGGGTTTAGTTTTTTTTTTTTTTTTATAAGAAAATAGTCGTTTTTAAATATATATTACAATAAGAAAATGAATAATTATAATTGGTAACATCTAAAAAAATAATGCTTTTCGTGTAAAAGGTACAAGGCACATTTATTTCACTTAAAATCTAACATTATTCATACTCGTCGAAAAAAAAAATGCCAAAAACATCATTAATTTAAATTACATTCATTCAGTTATTCGCTATTCTATTATTAAAATTCCTAAACCAATTTTGATCAACAGTCAATTTTAAATAACCTGACTAGATCACAAAAAAAAAATTACAAAATCCTAGTTTACATTTAATTATGGGAGCAGGAACTATCTGTAAAAACAAGTTTAGAGGGAAAAAGGTTATATTTTGTCAAAATATATATATATATATATATATATATATATATATATATTGGTTCATGGAATGTGGATGTCAATTAAGCTCAAGTTTCCCTTAAGTGTTGAAATAGCATCGTACCCTTGACAAAAAGAGCAGTCGTTAAAGGACGTTGAACTAATATCACAATGGTATCCTTTTTGTTGTTTTTACAAAAATGAAAAAAAAAAACACAATGATTTCGTTTGTTCGGAGGTCTTAGTCGACAATAATAAAAAAAAAAAAAAAAATTGTACACACAAGATCAACAACAAACACGAACCCCAAACGCGCGTTTTTTTTAACGTTATCTCAAACATAAATATTATTATTATTATTATTATTTTATTATTAATACTACTAATATTAATCAATTATTATTATTAACACAATTTGGTTTGAGTCGCGTATTCGATCATTTAATAATTACAATTTTCAAATTATTATAAATATTAATCTTAACAAACTAAAAGTACTTTTTTTTCCTTTCATTCAATTATTATTATTAGTTTTTCGAGAGTATGGTCTCGCGGGGGAGGGTGGGGGGAGCTGGAGGCGAGGGGAGGGTTCGACGTGGACATACGCCGCCTGCTCCACCTCGTCCATCACAGACTCGCGCGTTTGTCGTCTGCGGTCACCCTGTGTCATCTGCACGGATCGAGAAGCACTTCGATCCAAGTGGGACAGGACGTGATCTCCTGTCGGGAATACTTGGGTCCCCATCCTTTGGCAAAGCTGATCCGCACGGCGTTCGGGTCGACGGGTCCCACCCTCAGCCCGTTCGAGTACCGTATCCGGTCGCCGTGTGGATTACCCGTGAATATGTTCAGACAGTGGCCGGAAGGAACCCGGAACACCAGGTACGACTTGCTGTCCGGGTCGTCCAGCGTCGGCGAATTGACAAACATCGGCCAGTCGCTCAGGTTGTACGCCCACACGCCGTCGTCCTCTCTGCTCAGGGCGAGACCTGGGGGTGGACAAAAAAACAATTGTTATTATTAACCAAACCAAATTACAGAATACAAAAAAAAAAAAATTAAGCCACCCCATCGGGCGAACGTACCTTGTCCGATTTTGGTCCGGTTGCGGAGCACCGATTCGGGAGTTTGTTGGGTTGGCGAAAAATTGTGTTGGGTGAGAGCGGCCAGCGACAAGCCGGTGCCGAGAGGAACGTTCCAGAACACGTTTACCGACTTGGTGTCCACCGGGAACAGCCGGCCGACCCTCTGCGACAGTTCCCAGTACGCCACCTTGCACCATTCCTTTTCGTTTGGTCTTTCTGAAAATGTAAAAAAAAAACCGTATTATTTACTGGTAGCCAACATACATAAACGCGACAAAACGATAACACTAACAGGCGCGCTCACGCACACGGTCTGTTCCGACCACCATCACATTCCTTCCCCCTATCATATTTTATAGTACAAGACACACACGCGAGAGGGAGGAGGGGGTTTGTTAAAATTTGTGTCTAGAAGCGCAAAAAAGAAAACCTATAAACCCAAAAGGGCGAAAACGCAGACGATTAGTATTCTTCTGAGGCGGCCTCTTCTCTTTTCTCCGGTCGTCGTCGCCGCCAATAATAATAATGACGATGATAATAATAATAACGACCGTCGACCACATGTGATTTCTACGGCCCAACACCGTGTGTATACAGGCGACGAAGAGGTCGGCCGAGTTCAGCCGAACGCACACACACACACGCACAAAATAATAACCCGCAAGGGATTCTTAATACTATTATACAGAAGACGATGTGATGATGGTTATCGGTATCGGATTCCTAGAGCTAAACCAAAACGTCAGTGGGCAATTCAACAAGGTGCAGTTATTGCGTCCTATAACTCGTTAAAAATCAGATCTAAAAGATCCGCGGTTAGAAACGTCTCAAAATTGGTTAAATTTTAATAATTTTTATTTTCGACGGAGGGTTGGCATATTTATTAATGTTTTCTTTTCTTTTCTATCGTGCAAACGATGTGTTACCAAAATAAAAAACAAAAGTTTGTGTGACGCGTTTGGTTTTGGACGTCGATTGTTTTCTCAGGCTTTCTCATAATAATGTAAATGACCAGAAAAAAACACACACACCACGTGAGTCGAGTAACAGGCGGCGGTGGTGCGTTTTTGGTTACTCTTGGCGGCATTTCTGGCATTCCGGGCGGCCGGCCGATAGGGCGCCGCCCACCACTCGCCGCATTCCACCGGGCGACGTCGTCCTTCTTCCTCAGTGTACCTTTTTTTTTTTTTCTAAGGATATAACCGTCGCCGCCTGTCTGTGTAAGTACACACACACAAGTAGGTAACTAGTAAAATACAATATTGGTACGACGGCTGGTGTCTTGTATTGGAAGACTTGGACAGCCCCGAGAAAAGCCTCAAGACAATTATCATTATTATTGTTGTTGTATCATCGCAGTTTTTTTTTTTTTTAATAACATAAAACTCCCAATCTGGACAAGAACGTAGTGAGCACATGTGTTGTAATGAACCATTTTTTTTAATGAACAAAACATAATATTCTATTATACGATTTAATATTATGATGTCGGTCCTGCGTACTGTTGTTATCGCGTTGCTGTTGTATTTGGTTTGTAGCTATTACGAGCCGACCAACCTAACCTGGTATTTGTACGGTCCAATGAAAACAAAAAGCCAGCTAGTTTAAGTTTACACGATCTCAATAATAATAATAACGATAATGCATTATTATACAAATTTGGGCCGACAAAAATCATGCTTGGTGAATATTACAAAATTATGAAAAATAAATTTCCAACGAGAAAGAAAACATTATCCAAAATTTTCCCCTTTTAATTCGGAGCGTATTGAGAGGGGTTACGGTGGTCGTTTGCGGCTCACTGATGGTTTTTTGAGTAAACTATTACTACGATGACACAGGACTGCGGTGTTCCCATAAAAACGCAGGTAAAACGGATTTTTTGCCTTTTCGATCCACGCAGAGGAATCGACAACGCTTTCTCCCGAACATGATAATATATTATGCGGACAGTACACAATCATCGACACTGACCATTATTTTTCGGGCATAGATTTCAGCGATAAAAAAATGAATAGTTGGCTTTTGCGCACAGCCAACAGAAGAGGCTTGTAGCTACAAAACCATGGAAGCCTATACATACATAATGTAACCACCGCTTCGAGAGCTTGCCAAAACAACAAAATATTGTTGCTCGTCGTTAATGCGAGAGGCGGCGTTGTGAGAACAGAATGAGCTGCCGTTATTATTATCGACATTAAAGTGTAGTAATGAATGAACCGGTCACAATGACAACCTGAACGAAATCGTAAGATCCGTACGCCGAAAAAGAGAAGCACACCGGCCGGGCCGAACCGAAAAAAAACCGTGGGAGGGGAATGGAGGTGAATACTCGGCGGCGGACGACAATATTAAAATATTATTATGTTAATGAACGGGCGACGCCAGGCCTCCCACCAAGTCGCGCGCGCCATCTCCTCATCACACGGCCCAAGACTCTCAACCGGTTTCATTTGTATTACAAGGCGCGCACCAGCAACCTCGCATTATCATTACCACCGGCGCGCACACAATATAATAAATATTATTACAATAATATGTACATTTCGCCGGACGGCGACGACGGTTACACAGTGTACAGAAAACACCTTTGTTCTATGACCTGTACGATATTCAAGTAGGCGGTGGCGCCGAAAAGCTTTGCTCGACGACTAAATATATTATTGAAGCGAAAAACAACTAAATAGTAAAAAAAAAAATAACTGCACTCCCTGGCCGCCAGCCCGGTATTCGCGTCGGCGCCACCGCCGTTTCGGACCGACGAATTTTCAACAGAAAAAACAATTAGCAGCTTTCGAGGGGAAATTAACGACGATGATGATGATCTGTCGACCTGAAGCGTCGGGAGCGCGTGCCACCTGGCACGATAATAATAAACGTTAACCACGTTTAATATTAATAATGAGTTATTGTTACGTTATTATGTTACGTTTTGGGGGGGGGGAGGGGGATTTTAGGCGCCACACAGCCGGTGCTAGCGTTGTGTGAACGCGGCGGACGGGCACGACGACTGGGCGGCCAACGGCAAGACGGCGGCGGCGGCGGCCACAACCGGTTCTCCGAATCGAGCGGCGGCCGCGTATGGTGGCGCGAGCGGTCGCACGGTGGGGGCCCGTGATGAATGGCCACGGCACGATGGATGCCGGCAACCGGATCGGAGCCGGGCGCCACGACGGGCCGGCATTAGAGGCACGCACGCACGCACGTCCAACACAGATGACGGCGGCTGCGGACAATACTACAACAAAACAAAACAAAAAACGTTTGTTGCACGCGACTTGACCGGTATTCGTTAACCATAGACGGAGGTTACCAAAAAAAAACCCTCCTCCCCCCGTTTTCCAAAAAAAAACCACGGTCTCGCCGTGTATTACGGTTTTTACGCACCGTCCACGCTTTAAAAGGCCAGGGAATATACATATTATATTATTATTACTATTATATACACATTATGTAAATGTGCGTGTGTATTTTTGTTGTTGTTTTTTTTTTTTTTAAATAACGTTCGACAGCGGCGGCGGCGTCGTCGTGTTGTTCACGAATCAACAGCGTTGACGTGACGTCACGGGCGCCAGCGATACGTCGGCGACGACCGCCGGTCGTTTGTAATGGTTATTTTTATCGGGGCCGAGGCGGCAGTGTGTTTGTGTATGTGTATTATACATCGAGCGAGTGTGTAGTGTATAGTGTAGCGTGCGGCGGTTTGAAATATAAAATAAAAATATATATATAAAATAAAACACGGACGGTCTTTTCTTTCTGTTTTTTTTTCCTATCCATCGTCAACGTCGTGGAGTAGCCGCCGACACGGTAGACAAACGCACCACACACACATAATATACTCTCATAATAATAATATATAAGCCGAATAATAGTCGTAGTAGAAGTAGTATTAAATAGTGGTAGTGTATATTTGGTGTGGCACATATTATTTATAATAGTAATAAATATTATTATTATTGGTATCGAGGACGCCGCCATTATCACAGTCATCACCGTCGTCACCATGATATCATCCTTGATCGCTCCCCAACACGCGCATAATAATAATATTATAACACCACCACCTCCGTCCAACCGAACAACACACCCAAGTCCCCCAATCAATCACCGCCGTACGGTCGACGTCGTCGCGCCAACGACAGGCGCCGCTCATTACCGCCGTCGCGACCGCGAAAACGATAAACAACACACGCGTGTACTTGTGTAGGTCCTTCCCTTCCAACGGCGTCGGAGCTTAATTTTTTTTTATCGTAACTATATAAAAAAGAAAAAAAAATTATTAAAAAATTCCTGCCCATTGAAATTTGTCGATGATAATAATTATTCGTGACGGACGCGTGGCTTGTTTCTGGAATAACATTTATAATAATAATAATAATATACACATCAGCATATTATCATCAACGTGAACCCGAGCAGAAAAAAACCAAAAACGATAAACCCATACCGACTGATAAGGTGGTAACCGTCGTCGCCGCCGGTGGGGTTTTTTTTATTTAATTTTTTAACGGTGGCGCCCGGAGTCTGACCTTACTTGCCCCGGCCCGTACACACACGCGATAATGCACAGCTGCAGCTGTACCGCCGCCGCCAACCAGTGTGGTAAAATTATATTATATTATACTACTTTTACTATATTGCTCGTTGTTATTATTATTATCATCATCAGAGGCACTTCTTAGTTCTTCGGTGGCGGCATACGACGAATAATAATCATCGCATACACAATACAATAATAATAATAACGTCGGTGGTTTAGGTGTGCGATGCGAGGTCGATGGCGGTGGCGGCACCGCCGTTGGTAATTAACCTTTGACGGTATTTTTTTTTAAAAAGTTTGGTCGGGCGCCAGTCGGTCGGTCGCGCGGGTGCACCGCAAAATGTCATCTGTCCGACCCCGCTCCCCCACCCGGTGTTACGCACTATAATGATGATAATAGTAATAATGATGTACTACTACTACACTACTACTCGTGGAATATAATCATGAGTATTTGTGTTTTTGTACGAGACGACTTGGTAGTAATGATATTATTATCTATGTCGGCGGCGAGCGCCCACCACAGTTTGTGAGTCCTGTCGAGTGAGACGACTATTTTATGCGAAAATATATTATATATTATAACCGTGGCCATTATTTTAAGAGTGTATGATTGTGTATTGCAGACGGTAGAAAAAAAATTAATAAAAAAGGACTGGGCGCATAACCGGTTTCGTCGTAGAGGGAGAGAGGAGACAAATGATGACTTACTGGGGTAAGTGCACCGAGAAACTAATATTACTGATCCATTAAAACGTCTATTATTTACCGTCTTGTTATCTTATTTAACTTTTTTTGTTTTAATGCAAAAAAAAAACGCGTTATAATATTTTACCGTTGACGACCGTGCGCGTACACCCTAATAGACCGGGAAGTCGCGAAAGCGCGTAAGAAGTATTATGTAGTTTCATAGCCGGCCAAGTATCCGAGTAGGTAGGTATGTGTACGGGAACTTCCCGGTGTTATTAGTTTCGGCCGTAGAACGTTATCTGCAGCTCAGTGAACAGAGTAAGCAAAAGAGTTGAATGGAGACCTCTTGAAACGGCAGAATCGAAAACCTTTTCGGTGGCGACGGAATTCACCGCGGTGGGGCGTTCTTACGGTAAAAAATGCATTTTTAAAAATTCACTCGGCCCTAGGAGTAAGGAAGAGGGGAAACCAGATTCGAAAGATTATCCCACGCGACCGACGGAAGTCGTTTCTAGGAAACCGAAAGCTTCCAAGAATACATCCAGACAGCGGCCGCAGCCGGACATATTGTTTTTTTTTTTTTAAGTTGGTAAGACCCGCCAAGACACCGTGTGCGTTCTCATTATACTTGTTTGCTAATCATTGGACAAGACAGAAAAAAAATAAGCAATGCTTACCGTCGCCGTCGGTGCTGAACGAACCGCGGAGTTCGTCGTCGTTGCTGTCCCAGCTACACTCGCTGGGTGCTCGATCTGTAAACAAAAGACATGAAAATATTATTAAAAAGAAACAATAACGACCAAAAAAATGTTTTTAAAAAAAACGACACAATATCATTAATTAGACATTATAGTATATTTGACGTCGGTGGTAGGCGCGTGTCACACACGACCGATAAACGGTTATTCCCACGTATTAGCGTTATCGGTAATACAACGGCATTGAATAGTATCGTTTATTATTATTATTATATTATGCACGCACAATCAACGGCAATAGATATCATACAAAACAAAATACCAAAATATTTTCTCTAACAAAAAACCGCCGTGCAAACAGTTTTTTAAATTTCCATACAACAGCAGAGTATGCTTTAAAGCACTAATATAATATTATTATTATTATTATTAGCAGTAAGCCGACTCAGTCGTACACGGTACCGCCGAAAATACGGTGGTTTTTTATTGTTACTCTTGACCTGAACCTCATCGACTCATTAGTCTTGGCGTTCATGGGAAAAAGAAAAAAATCGTACGTGATCGGTTTGGACGTACACGCCGGAGGAAGACGACCGGAGGGCAGGCAGCACAGACAAAGGTATGTCGTCTCCGGAATGATAATATTGCGGCGATGATGTTATTATGTAGAGAAGGATAAAAAAAAAACAATACTGCCACCGAGTAGCCGTATATATATTATGATGATATGATACGTGGCGTACACAAGAGATATTATTAGAGAGCAAAAAAAAAATCTGTTAACATTTTCATTGTGTGAGAACGGCAAAGAGAGAGACCAACGTGGACGAGGTATTGCAGCAAGTGTGTGTATGTACTTATATATATTTATTATGTGTGTGTGTGTGTGTATGTTTTATATAATTCCTGTTCTCCTCTCGATCAGCGACGGCAGCGGATGACCACATTCCCGAGGAATGATTCTTTTCTCCCTCTCTGCCCTTGGTGGCCCGTCCCGTCCAGTCTCTCTCACTCACTGGCTCGGTCGTGCGGGTTATTTTTACACACACACACATATTATATTGTATAGACGCCCATGCGGTTACATGTTATCGTATAACTTATGTCATTTTTTTTTTGTCTTTGTTTACTTTGGACTAGTTGATTTTTTTCCCAAGTTGACTTTCCGGTCTATACCGGCGGTCGTTGTTCGGCAAACAACAATATTGGAAAATATTTAGAATCGAAAAAGAAAATTTCGATTACAATAATATCACAGTGCTGCTTAAGATGAAAAATTACCAGAGCAATAAATAAATAAATTAATACCATCATAGTTATTTATTAAACGGAATAGGTAGAAATGGTATAGAATATTGTTGGAAATCATTATACATAATAAAATATGTAGCAGGCAAAGGGTTGTAAAAATACATTTAACTTTTTTATAACTCTAAAAAATGTTAGAAAACATTTTTTGCTCTACATATCGTATTTATAGTATTGAAAGTAATTCCCACGAGCATTAAAGTTGATAAAAAAAATAGGTACATTAATGATGATGATTTCGCCTAGTCGCCGGACCGGCGGCCATTAACACGGGGCCAGGACAAGTCGACCGAATTGAAAACCGCAACGACCGAGCGAGATAATGATTTCCTAATCTAAATTTACACCGAGCGAAAAAAAAACTGGAATTTTTTATTATTAGACTGCCAACCACCGTGCTAACACGGATTCAGGTTTAAATGTACTTCAAAAATATACTTATTAAAATTTATTCGCTCCAACCGGTCGCGAAGTTCTTTCACGCAAAGTACTTTTTCGTTGTTATTAAAAAATTAATGAACAAAATTTGTTCTTATAACCAATAGAAAATAATTATTTATTATTGAAAAAAAAGAACTTTACCAACTCTAGAGCAGCTGCTTAGACGACAAAATTCAATACTATTTTTGTAAACAAAGGCCGTTTTAGACAATTATGTAAAAAAGTAAATATACTTCATCCGTAAAAGCTACACTATCAGTCACAAGTTTTGATACAAGACACGAAAAATTTATCATAAAATATCAATGTAAAATAACAAAAACCACAATTATTAGAAAAATAAATATTATAATTATACATAAATAAATGACAAATAGATTATGAACTTATATAACTTACGTAATAAATATACATATCAGTAAATTTTGATCGGCAAAACTGTAAAATACAAAAACCACAAATGCTAGACAAAATAACTTCTAAAAAAAAATGGTTTTTTATACACTGGACAATAGGCTAGATTAGCTGCTTGCTATAACCTCAGATTAGATAAAACCAGACAACCCACTGTTAAAGCAACGCAATTGTCCAAAAATGTAAAAAAATCAAAACCTCCCTTAGCTCAAGAGTGACCACTGGTTGATAAAGAAAAAATGTCTTAATGAGAAATTATTGTTTCAAAACTAAGCGTCACTCACAGTGAATTTTTGCGGAGTTAAACCAAATTAGCGGACAAACATATGAATCGGACTACGACCTCCGACGTATTACAAAAACTATAATATTATTATAGTAAAATGTTTACTGCACTCTCGAGTTGAGGAAGTTTCAGTTATCAGTGTAAATGGCGATGTACACCGCCGTCTGGTTTATTGCAGTATGTGCTTGGTGATGAAAATTCGCTTTCTCCGACAACGATCAATACGAGAGGAGCCAAGTACCTTTGAGCGAACAAAGAAAAGAAAAAGCAATAATACCTTCACAGACGTCGGGCCAGCTCCGAGGGAGTAAGAGTCGGTGGAAAAAGATATTAAAAAAAAGAGAGCTCGGATTTTCATCTCCCCTATACACGGTATCCATTGGCATACATACCTACGACCCAAGGGCCGCCGCCGGTTCGTTTTTAATGACCCTATTTCCCGGTCCCTTCGCTATTGTTTTGCACCCTCGGGACCGGCCTGGCAGAAAGAGCCGGCTAATCTCCAAGCTTCCACTCGAACGGATTATTTTATGGGAGCCGGTGGTGGTAGTGACTGCCACCGGCACACGTTTGCAATCCCTCGTGGGGCGAAGGAGAGGTGGTGGTTTAAGGACTATGTAGGCGGTGCACACGTGTACCTGCTGCTGCTGCTGCTTCTTGTCGGGACTACCGGCGGCGTCGGGGGGGGTTAGAAATCGGACGAGGGTGAATTCTCCATAATATCGTTTTTCACCCTCTCAGGACAGGAGGAGCACTACACACAAACGTCGAATGCAGCACACGCAACCGAGACCGGAAGATTACTTTTATTCAGCGACCGTTTTCGTCCAGCCTCCCCTACCCCGTCCCTGAGTAGGTAATTCCCAGTAGACGCTGGGCGAGAACGAGATCCTTTATGATGTGTAACCGACCGGAAACCCGGCGTCTACGGGCAACGCGTTGCACGCGGCAGAAGAAAATATAAAGAGGAAAAGGGAAGTAATAACTTGTTCAATTAAGAGGAAAACTCTGAAAACCCCGGAACAGCCGCAAGAGCTCTTCATAGTAGTATATACCGAACGGCGGTTGTCTTGAGGAAAACGTACCAAGTGAAAAAAATATTTAAGAGTAATGCTCCAGTATAATTACAACTAAAATTAAAAAAACACACCAATCGCTAATGTATATTTAAAACTCTAATAGCGTTCCACAAGTTTAGGTGGGTTAATAATATTGAAGTAGAAGGAATTGAAAACTTTATCAAGCTTGAAACGAAACGTTTATATCGGTTCAAAAGATATTACTAAACTTCAAAGTCAAAACTGTTTTTTTTTTTTGTACAAGTGAAACCCGCTATTAGATGATAAGATATGTGATGTAAATGTTGGTTTTGGTAATGTTTTCAATATCTGAATTAAATGAGTATACAAAACACTGCACCACCTTAGAGGGAAGGACGGTAACGGCTGTTTTGGACCGGCCAAACGGAGTGAAATTGAAAGTCACCGTTCGTCGTATACTCTATGGCCTCGTGCCATTGCATTGCATTTTTTTTTCGACTTAAACGGGAACAATAAAACGACAGCTCGATTAGTAAAATAATTTTACCGCAACAAATATAATTAGAAGGAAAAATAATAATAGTAACGAGAATCGGGAACGGGCGAAACAGGAAGAACCCGAATTATGTAATTAACTTGTAATTACACGGTCTATCTTCAATTTACATTGGCGCCAAGTCTTTGCATTATACACACATATTATATTTATATATATTATGTAGACAACGAATTTAATAAACGCTTACCTTCGGGTTTGAGTTTTTCCTTCACGAACCTTGAATAAGGCGGCGGAGGTCGTTCTGAAACATAAACGGAAACGACAATATTATAATACAACAAATAATACTATTGTTATTACATAATCTAGTCTGAAAACACATTTGAACAGGCGACCTTGCCCCAATCGAAAAGGGTGCTTTTGGACGACAATCGACCGATTCCATAGTTTCCCACGATTTTAACTACAGAAGTACGATGGAGCTGAATTGTTGGACGTTATTTTTTTTCTTTTGCATACGGACAACTCTAGTTTAAGTACTACATTGTAGCTCGACGACAATTGTTTTGTTTTTAATTATTTTTTTTTTTTTTAATAACAAACTCAAAAAGTATGCATCGCGTACTCTGCACGTGTCGTACGCAGAAGCCAATTTTTTCGATTATTATTATTTCACGCGACAAATCAATTGTGTCACAAATCGCATACATTAGCACAGCTATTGTAACCGTAGGCCGTTTTGAGTTTTTCCGTTGACGGCGGCCACGACGACGGAGACGACCACACATGATCTCCCGTCTCGTTTCTTTTGTACACACAACGCCGGCAGACTATTTTTACACTCACGTCACACATACCGACGGTCGCCGCCGCCGTTGCACACAAACAACGGATTACACACATCTTGACCGAACGCGATGGATTTTTCCGTTAGAAACCGAAGGTTTTATTTAGTATTTATTATCAAGAGCGAGACAAATGTAATAACAACCATTTTGGTGGCAGCTGGGCAAAGTCCAACGTAAACACATACACAGTCTTGTGTAAAAAAAAAAATCTTGGCGCCGGGATTTAAAAATATAACGAGCGGCTGTCGACTTAAGACCGAACGTTAGCTTAGTTTTTGGTTGGCTTAGTTTTAAGGTTTCGCGCGACCGACCGCTTACCGGCGACACCTTTAAACGCCCTACCGAAAAGGAGGAGAAGGAGGAGGCGGCTGCGGCCAGTGGCGATGACGGGAAAACATCACGTCCCGGCGGCGACGTTAATATCATTACTATTATTATTATTATATTATACACGACGGCGCGCGTTGTCGCCGCCGCCTTCGACATCCACCGTGTGTGCTTGTGAGCCGCCACCGCGCGCGAACCGCGTGAGGACCGATGAGCGAGCGGAGGGGAACGCGCGCGGTTGGGCGCCTCGACGCGGCGGCGGAACCGATGGCGCCGTCGGGTTGCGTGACCGGGTCTGCGCGCTATTTATTTCTCATCCGGCTTGACGACGGCTCAGGTGAAGTGGCCGCCGTCGCCGCAGTGACGCAATTGGAACGACGACGCGAAATGAATAATATTAATGTATCGTTACCGAAAGAAGAGGCGGCCGAGGGATTTTTTAGATCATTGAAAAATGTCCTTAAAAAACTTTAGTTGGCAAAAAAGGCCAGGGAAAACTAATTACAACGTTGCCGTCATTCGGCCGGTTCTCATTTTTTCGGAAAAACTACTTTGCCTACCCTTCATTTATTTATTGAAGACGACCAATAATCTAAAACTTGGCCGACCGCAGTTTAGCGAAAATTAATTACCGCTGGCCTTTGAAACATGTTGTTGCTGTCTTATCGTAGAAAAACAAATACCGACGATTACCGAGAACGAACTCGGTTACATATTATTATTTCATTACTCGGCGGCGGCAACAACCGTATGATACATCACAAACGCCGCCCGGCAACTATGCGTGTTTATCAACAGATTAAAACGAGATCCTGGAAGCGGTATATAAAAGGTGCGGCATGTACGGCGGCGACCGACCAGCGACCAAGGTTAAATAATAATACAATAAATATCGGTTAATTTCACAGAACTGGTGTATACGGCGGGACGGGGAAAAAACGGCAAAATAACCATATTATAGTTTCTCTTTACCGGCCGGCAACCGTACGTTATCTCCGGACCGCGTCCGGTCTTTTATTTAGGTAAAATGCCATTAAAAAGGAAGAAAAACGTGCTCGGCTCGACTTTTTTTATCATTCGTCACCACACGTGTTTTTCGACACAATACCAGACGGCAAACTCAGGGCTGGGATGCCAACGAGGTGTCGCCTAATAATTGATCGAGCGCGGGCGATTATTTATAGAATGGCGTTCGATTTGTTATCATCGATCTCCGGAGTCACTCTTTGCCGGCACGGTGAATCTCAGATGGCAATTTACACGTCTGTTTTATATTTAATTTTTTTTATGACTAGCTTTTAATAAGTGTAAAAAGTCAAAACGGAACTCACCGATTTCGCATCGTTTGCTCCAGTGGTATGGGTTACAGCACACCAGGTCGGGTTGGCCGGCGGCAGTGTGCTGTTGCTGACAGGCGGGCGTAGCCTTGAGTTGTTCGGCGGACTTGAGGTCGGGCCAGCGCCACAGCCGGCAACAGATGACGGCCGGGTCGGCGAACAGGAACGACCGGACGGGCACGCAATCGGCGGCGTCCGCACCCGCCGTGTCCACGGCTCTCAGCAGCGTCTCCAGCTGCCGGTCGTCGAGCCGCTTGAACAGCGCGTTGCGGAACTGCCGTTCGTCGGCGTCTGGCCCGGACGACACGGCCGACGGCGAGCCCAATGTTTTTTCCGCACACCGGGTTTCATTGTCCCGGGTGCGCACCCGCGCTTTCCACAGTCGTTTAGCTAATGCCGTCCGCCTCCTCCTGAACATGAACATAAAACACGTGAACGCCGCCTCGCATTTGGTGGCCACTACTTCCGCCGATCCGCCGAACCGAACAGTGCGCGGGTCCGCCGGCCGGCGTGACGCGCGCGCGGCGGGTTGATATGTGATCGCGGCGTGCGCACCAACACCACGTTTCCCGGACGCATCCGTGTCGGGCCGACCGTTGCCCGGACACCGGCGTCGTCGTCGTCGTTTTTGCTGTTGACGTCGGCCGGTCAACGGCGGCGTGCGGCAAACGCGGTGGACACCATCGCGGCGCGCAAACGACAACAACGCGACGACGGACAGTAGTAGGACGCGCACCACGTGTTGCACCGGCCGCAGCTGAATCGACTTATAAGCGACATATAATATTATCTGAACGTCGATACGGTTTTCCCCTGCGAACGTGTACGCGTAGTGTATTCCAACAACAGCGATAACAATAATAACAATAATTCATACGAAACGGTCGACTTCGCTCCGACAACAACAGTATCGCATAATAATAATATATAATATAATATAAATAACAAGCGAAAATGATAAAACCACTACGGCCAGAACGGGCACACGAATTACACACGCACACACAAACACACACACGATCGGTTACAAAAATAAATAAAATAATTTGAATTTATATATAAATATAAAAATAAAAATATGAAAACGACGAGCGACAGCCCAACGCGTTGGACGTGCGGTACGAGACTGACGGGTGTGAGAGAGAAACGGTTTGTGTATGCGGTATGGGAACGGCGAGGCGACGACTGTGCTGTGCGTGCGTGCGCGCATGTTCGTCGGGTAAAGAAAACGGGAACGGCGGCGGCCGACGTCGTCGTGTATTACACTGTGTCGGCCGCCGGTACACCCGCCCGCCCGGTGCGGTATCACCGCTGCAGCCGCCGTCGCCACCGCCCGCCCCGAGTACGCGGGTCGGCCGCCCGGAGTACGGTGTCCTCACGCACGGGGCGCCACCTACCCCGGCGCCACCGGCCGGCAGTGCGACCACGCGCGCCGTACCGAATGTCGCGGTATGCACGTTTGCACGTGTGGTCTCCATACAAATCAAACTCACGCACGCCGCGGCACCTTGTTTACAGAAAGGGTGGAGGGTTTGATTGACGTTTATTATGTAGTTCGGTTTATCATTAATATTGTCGATGGGATTTCCCGTAACCTATGTAAAAGCCAAGGTCTGGATAAAGTTCCAGAAATCTAGAATGTTGTTATTTAAGTGTACAAACAATATTTCCATTGGAACTTTAGTCGGACTCCTGATTTTTTAGTATAATTTTCTATACAACCTCCTCGGAGTTATTTAACAAAAAAATTCTCAAATACAATTATTTTTGCCTAAGGTTAGTCGACTCGTTTCCAAAAACAATTAGAGTAAATTTAGAGGGGATATACTTTAAACTTGAAGTCAGTGCCGCTAAAAAGTTGAAATTTATAGATTACATTTTTTCTAATGAACGATTTGGTCAAAGTAAAAATTTTAGCGTCGTGAGCATGCTCTGCTTCTGATTATGTTTCTTGAAATTGTTACTGCCTACTTTAAAATAGTTGATAAATATTTTATATACAGTTTTATTTTGTTATAAAAAGTCTAGAAAAGTATAATTATTAATTAGTTGGCGGTTTTTCTGTGGGTTTTTCATTGAGAAATTGTCTAGCTGTGACGTCGGTTCTCTGGAGCCAGCCGTAATTACTTGTGCCCATTAGCTCAGTGTGTGTCTAGACTGTAAGACAATTGCCTAGCCACTGTAGGAACTATCCTCGACCTCTAGCACGTAATCGTGCCCAGCCGAGAGGAACATTGGAGGTTTATATAATAATTCATATTTATACACTCGTTGTTGTAAAAGACCAAAGCATTCTCATCGGGACTCTAGCACTCGACCGCGGTGGTTTGTACTTTCTACTGTTCTTTTTTTTTTAAATTGCCAAAAATTAAACTACAGCAATTTTCACAGCAAAATCCAAATTATTATGTACACATTTGTTCTTTTTTATTTGTATAATAAACGGGCAACGTGAAATTGCATACCCGATTAGACAGGTTTAAACCACCGCACGAATTCGTATACACACAAATAAAATACTTTAAATTGATATTTTTATTATTATTATTATGTTAATAATTATAATAATTATTCTCGGCTCGCCAAATTCCGACTAATTGAACATAATATCAAAACTCGTTTCTGCGTTTAAATACAAATTATCATTAAACTAAATTATATTTTGAATACACGGTAGGTGGGGATTGGGGTCGTCGATTGGTCAAAATAAAAATTCACATAGACATTTAACGATAATAGCAATTCCTATTTATAATTTTTTTTTTTTTTATAAAGTACATACCCATAAAAGAAAGCCAAACGTTGTACCAAAAACCGTTGTTTGAAAAATTTTACAACGGTACAAAGTATATAAACAAATTAAGGGCTATCAAACTCCCTCGTTCAAAACCGCACACGAATCTGCATAAACACTATAAATCTGGTCGGGGCGAAGGATATTACGGAAGGGTATTTATAGGGTGCACGGTATTATGGCGGGGTGGGTATTTTAATCCCGTCGGAGGCGTAACGTTGTTGTTTTTTACGACCCCGACGCGGTTAAATGATATAAGTTTGGCTTTAATCGACGAGGGGTTGAAAGTCATCGTAGTTCCAACAATAATAATAATAATAATATTATTATTATTAAATAATATTTATAATTTAATTTAAAGCTTATTTTCCGGCGTACTTGAAAACGGCCAACGACCGCCAAAAATCTGTCTGTGTAATTATTTTTAGACTGTTTAAAAGTATTTCTCGATTTTACACCCTTCCCCCTCGCCTCACACCTCAACAGCGCCCCTCCGACTGTGAAGGAGAAGCGTTCCTCGAGTTTTTTATTATTAATAACTATTTTTGTTATTATTATTACTTATTGTCATTTATGCTGTTTAGACGACGAACGAAAAGCGCATTGCGTGTAGCCCCAAGCTGGCGACGAGTGCGCCGGTTAGGTTTATTATTAGAAAACGGTCGCTAAGCGTTTTTCTGTTTTTCGCCCCGTTATATTTATTGGTATATTATACAAGAATTTACGATTATTTTCGCCAACGAACGGGCCAAGGACGGCTACACTACTGCAGTAATGATACCGAACGAGCTGCTCTGCAAGGACTGAAGGACCACTGCCGTCGCGTGTCGTCGATTGATGAAAACTCAAAACGAACAAATTGACCAAAATTTTGAACTGGTAAATTGACGCTTTTAACCGTGAGCTGAGATTTGGAGGGCTTGGTATACTAAAAATCTTAAAACTTAAAATCGGTGCTTTTCTTAATACCTACATTTATTTTTCAGTGAGAGATTTGTTGAAATAAAAATAAATGTAGTAACTAATTTAAGGTTTTTTAGAATCCCTAAATCACCGCCTATACTTTTAACGGACCCAGCGCAAGTCAGGCACGTCCAAGCGTTAAAATAGTGTCGATAATCGCCTATTTATGTTTTTATGTCGGTCGTAGTGGCGCAGAGGATAAACATGTTGACAGTTGCATTTGCAACGATGGCAGTGACTGATCTTATAATAAATATAAATTTATAATTACCTATTAATAATTTCTTAGAATGATTAAATGTTTTCAATTTGACATGATTATGTAATACATTTTGTGTATATAAATACGATAATTGTGCAACATGATATTTTTAATTTGTAGTTCACACCCTTCAATCAATCGCACCATCCATCAATTAGGACCATCTGAATCATTTGCTTGCGGCCTTATAGTATATTTTAATCCGGCTCTGACTGTGTGGTACCCACTACGTGTTCGGTTCAGTTTAAGCAAAACGCGGTCGGCACGCGAGACCTACAGTACGTGTGATTTTAATTTAAAAAATGTGCTTATAATATTAATAGTAACCGTGAGAGCTATTTTTAATTGTGAGCGAGCGCAAAAACATTTTCTAAACGACGCGACGTTGTTTTGATTTGTAGCTTGCAAACATTTCCCAAACAAACGCGTACATTCTAAAAGACGACCGCTATTTTCGCGTAGACAATTAAAAAACCAGATTAAACATCCGAACGAAACCGAAAACCTCATTTGTTGTATACACGTGGGAATCGTCCGGTCTGTTGTACAACTTTGGCATGTCAAACGCTTAAGTCTTGTCGTGGTCGCTGTACAAGCTATAGCCTATCCGTGTACCAAGGAAACTTGGTCGTCATTATTTATTGCACGATGTGGACGGACCTTAAGTATTACCTACGTGTTTCATGTCTGTATAGATACTATATTTCATGTTTGCACATAACAATAATATACTGTTTTTGGCCTATAAAACGAACGCATGCGTGTCAATTGAATTAGCACATTTACTCGACATTTGTAACATTAATGTAGCGCGATAATTTTACAAGCCAAAGAGTACAGCCTATGCTTAGGTGATGTATTGTATTTAGGTAGGCAATATAGTAATAAAAAATATGTTATAATAAACATTAGACGGCCGGCGCAATGCTTGTACAACTTATTATTGAACTTGTGTTCAATGCTGTTACGTTAAATTTCATATAGGTGTTTACCACAATGACATTTAATGCAGACGACTCCTAGAGAACATATTAGTATTGTCACTTGTATAATTAGAACCTAATAATTATTTCATTAATAAAATAATGTATACTAAGCAATTTTGTATTTTTTACAATATTATTGCACTAATTTTGAAATGTTGTTTTTTGGCCTCTACGCGGAGTTGAGATTAGTTTTAAGATAATGTGTTTTTTTTAAAGAGGGTTTAGATTTACATGACTCCTCGGTCGTGAGAATTATTACTAAAAACTGTTATTTGATGGATAGAATGATATACAAAAATCGCTATAGCACTATTATTATTTTGTATACTTGGCCATCAAGCACTTCACGAATTATTTGCACGGCGTTCGATTGATTTATGGAAAACATAATTCCGCGAATCGTGTTCAGGCATGAACAAGATTCAATAATAAAAATCGTAGGTACATTATTTTTGTTTTTTTTTTTTATAATACGAGTATTTGGGAAATGAAGATTTCATCGAATTTGTACGCGAGTATCTATAATATATGCATATATTATGCTAATGTATACATATATATGTATGATAATAATATGCTCTTGTAGTTGTATAATATATTTATAAATGGACACCTATAGTTAAAATAATTGGGAAATTGCCATTATGAGCAAACGGAGGCGCCGGTCGTAAATACTAATAAAATGTTTTATCGGTGTGGCAAACAAATAAAGAGTGGTAATAATAATATAACGCGTATACATGTATAAACGAACTCATTTCAATGTCGTATTATAATAATATTATGTACAAGGTACGGGCTACGTTATGACAATTTCCGTTGGCCGCCGAACTATGCCCGAAGTTCCGGCACACACTGTAGCGCGACCATGCGAAATCGCATTTGTATTTAGTTATAATATTACGTACAGTATGTATAATGCATGAGGCGCGTGCACACGGTGGTGTTGTTTTATGCACACACACACAGACACATACTTAAAAGCCGAAGTTCTTAACTTTGGCGCCACCACCGGTTGCGCCGCGGGTACATTATGAATTCAAATGGTACGTTTTTTATTGTAACCTACAATAAATAACATTATGTATACATAATAACGACGTTAACTAGTACATAATATATTATGTATATTATTATGATA